CATCCAATCGCACGGTACCTCCACCTATTTATTGAAAACCTCCCAAAAACAGTGCTATCCTACGCACATGCTTTTGCATTGGCACTAGGAATTAGGTGAGCCCATTGGGCAATATTAGGATTAGGATAAAACCTAATGCAGTCCTATTTGACACTGAGCTACAGATGCCTTCCTTGTGAACTTCGTGGAAATCTTTCTTAGTATTTGACTTCTTGAATTTTGTATCGACATACAAAATATATTATTGAAAACCATACGGTGTATGGTATGATGCCATATGTCCTCGCATATGTTTTCGGACATTTGAGCATTTTTATAGTATACTTTAAAGAAGTTTAGATTCAGCCTAATATTTGTATACTATACGAACATCAAATATAATCTCAGGACGAATAACTGCTTTGGGATTTTTTGGCGGGTCTTTCTCGAGCTACCCTGAGCGAAAAAAGGCAGGGTAGCTATTGTTACCTATACGGTACTGGCTGATTTGGTTACCACGAAAATGGCAACAGTGACAATTCGTGAGCAGCATGGCAATGCACACAATTTTGGCCACAGGCGGATCTGGACAGGATCTTGAATGTAATAAATGACCACAATGTCTTGAAGTTCCATTCGACGGACTGGCGAACACGACTCATCCACTTGTTGAAGTCGCGTTCGAGGACGCCAACATCATTCCCCTTGTACCCGGACAGAAGGTAGGTACTCCACAATTCCGTACGCTGGGTCACCGTAAATATACTTGGAAAAAATACATCTCGATTGTTCTGGAAGAACTCGAGCAGATTATTCCCCCGCAGCATTATCGAGTCGTGGCGACGGCCCTCTACCGGCCCAAAGAAATGCACGCAAATGCCGTCGGGGCATGTCACTGCCTGGTAATTCAAGCAGTGAATGCGCTTGTGTCCACTGTAGATTTGCTTCTGCAGGTTGTTGCAGTCTGCCGACCGACTCAATACGGCACGTTTGTATCTTCGTCCCATCAATGAAACAGTAAACGTTAGGCAAGGGCGAACCCTATCCAGCCACAGCGGCACAGTATCTATAGCAAAATCATGAAATCCAAACAAGATACGTTTATTAATTACCGGTCAATGTTCTTGACAACCAAGGATTTGTTGAAATACAATACATGGCCCCATAGGTTGTATAGGAGGTTGACGACATGAAGAAACACATAGCAAATTGACGATCGCAATCTTCCAAACGTTCGTGATATGTTTTGGAGGCGTGTAGGGAACGCAAGTCGCCCCAGTAGTATGCACATTGCTTCGTCTCGGAGGACTCGGTTCTAGCTTGCAGTACAGCAGGAAGATCGAGATGGTAGCCGAGCTGGCGAATGCCAGCAATGTCGAAAAGGTAGTCCAAGATGGCGTTTACGTTGGACAAACCAAGTAGGTTTCCTCGGCCTGAGATACCAACAGGGCAACAAGGAACCGTCGTTGCCGAGTTGACCGTGTCATGGACATGAGCAAGAACACATCGGACTGCCTGATGGACATGAGCAATTGAGCACTGTTGTTAAGTGTGAGCATAAGGATTTTCGGGCATATTTAACCGGAGAAATGGCTGGACACGGACTGGATTCACCAAAACCGTTTCTTTTTCATTTCCAATCACGGTCTTTCGAACGACAAATGTCGAAATAATGTGATCCAGACAGGGAATGGAATTGCACCAAAACCTCACTAATATAGATTTGACCATTTACGGATCTCACCGCCAGCCACGCTTAGATTACAACTCCACAAGCCATATCCACCAGCGCTATCACAGAAGCTAACTCTTAGTTTTGCTCTTCAACGGACAGTACAGTATCAATCAAGTGTGTGATCTACGCGAGGCGATCCCCATGAACAGTATTTGTAAAACCGATACTATGATTCGTACAAATCCCAATCCGACTGCATGTTACTGTCGCTAACGTTAGTGTTAACGTGTCCGACCATTGATGGGCCAACTTATTTCATCCAATTAAAACGCCAATCAACTCTGATTGGACAAAAGGCAACCTCTCGACAAATTTAACCTGCATGAATAAATGGAGGGGAAAATATTACATATTAAAGGTTTTTTTCAAATTTGAACCGACGAAATGCCGCCAAGAACGCCATACACGCAGGTCACCATGGACAAGGTCGTCCACGATGTGTTAAGCAAAGTACACACGGCATCAACTGCTGCCGAGGCCTATGGCATTCCATCGCGGACGCTTCGGAAGCATTTGGCAAAAGCTGACCCCGGTGTCATCGAAATACCAAGATCTTTCGGTCGAGCACCTATCCTACCGCGGCAGTACGAAGAAGATCTGGCTACTTGGATTGTCGGCATGGAGCGCGATGGGAAGCCTGTCGGTTATCGTGAAATCGTACAGAAAGCAAACGAGATTCTTACAAACGAGTTACAATATGAGGTGTATATTATTCCACGTGTGCCAATAACATTGGAAATGTTATTTTCCAACTGAGACTCCAATACGTGATACCTTTTCAAACTTGGTAAACCTCTATTAATTTTTATTTCTCGCTGGATGTAAAAAAACTGACACATGGATTCTTCATACTTAGTTCAAGTATAAAAGTTGGTCCATCAATGGTCAACTGTGTAAAGTGCTTGACTTCAAAAAAATCCTGTACATTCCTAAACTGTTTAAGTCGATATCCTTGGAGTTATTCATAAAGTACTCATCATTAAATGTATCATTCCCACTCTGAAAACAAAAAACACCCGAAATAATTAAGATTAAAAATGAAGAAAAGTCGGCCCATCAATGGTCGGACACGTTATCGTGTGGGGCTCAACATCCACTGTTATAAAAAAGGAGATATGTTCATCAAGTGTCATTTTCGGCGTCTTTATAATTCAAATACTGTACAAGGTAGCTAGCCTATCCGATACCAAGGCATCAAAAATCGCTGCAGTTGCTTGGTTTCGGTACTGTATTGACGCAGGGGTGGTTTGCACATCCCCAGGGTGTGACTCAGCCGCTTGCAGCCCTCGAAAGTGCACTTCCACTCCTTTCGGTGATATTCACACAGCCCTCCCCCTCGGACTGTTCAGGTGCATATAGACACTGTACAAGAAAGTGACATCCGCCGTGCTTGGTGGCTATAACCCCGCTGGACGCCCTTGTCACAGCCATCGATCGTACATTGCTTGCCGCCTCCGTGGGCCCGACAAAACACACCTCCTTGGCTGCTCTTATCGCATTGGTCAAACTTGCAGCGAGGCCGCTGCCGTGGGCTTTGCATCGTCCTTTAGACGGGGCAGCGTTGGAGCATCAGTAGATTTTGCAGTACTTTCCGCCTCCATGGTGGATGCAGTAATCGCTGAACATGGTCTCTTTCGTGCCTGGCATTCAAAGTGGCCACCGTGAATTTTGCACAAGCCATTGGTTCGGGCATTTTAATAGCATTTGTCCAAGGAGCATTGGGCTGCCCATGTCATTAGTTGTAATCACAAGTTGGCCAATCAGCCGTGCTTTTGGGAAGCCATCAACAGACCGTGATAGTACCTATCGCCGCGTCCCGACGGTCAACCCGGGTGGGAAGCACCTCGTGAAGCTGCTTCTGAAGGTCAAATGGCACAAGGTCCAAGTCGACGACCTCATCCCGCTGGACGGCCAAGACAAAGCGGTGGGGCTTAGCAGCTCCCTATAAATGTGGCCGGGCAAGTACAAATGTACTACAGTAGTATTGGACAATGCGTGCGATGAATGGCCACTCCGACGTGAAAATAGCTCAATCTTTGGCTTCACATCCAGTGCCATGACTCATCCGCAGAAAGCCCCATTCACCGACAATGGTAACATACTGTAGTACCAGTACTTTTGAAGCAAATGGTTGCGTCCGCCGTCCTATTGCCATCGTCAGTCCAGAGTCCCAACTACGATGGATGGTACATGGCGAACAGCGACTCGGTCCACGGAAACATTACAGGCAGTCAATTTAGGGAAAAAAATCAATTGTCATTTTCGCTTATGCTTTTCGTCACGAAAACCAAAAGCACCTCGTTGGTTTTCAAGAATCAAAAGCAACTTGACTGTGAAGTTGGGAGTCAATTTAGGAAATTTCCGCTTTTCGTTTGATTGTGAAAAGTAAATTTATATTCTTTTGTACTTTGAAGTATTTTTATTAGCTTCCACGAAAAGCAATGTGGAGTCAATTTGGCCCTAGAAAGTCATTCGTACAGTGTACTAGTACACTGTATCCGCACTCAAAAGAGGGGTGACGTCAGGTAGGGAGGTTGGATTCACGTTGTCGTCGACTGTCTTATTCGACGACGAAGTAGTTAGGTATGCTTCTACTATAACTCATCATGGTCCTAAGCTCGCGCTTCATGCTCCCTACGACACCTGATTTCGTCACTTGCGACTTGGGCTCTCGGTTGACAATTGGTGACTGGCGCTGCGTTTTCGTGTTTGTATTAGTGTTTGTATGCCTTGGAATAGACTGCGATGATTGGGTATTTTCATCGTCACATGGGTGGTCTCCACCAACTTCAAGTTGCTTTTGATTCTTAAAAACCTAAAGCACCTCGCGAGGTGCTTTTGGTTTTCGTGACGAAAAGCAGAAAGTGAGAAGCAGAAGCGAAAATGAAAATTGATTTTTTTCCTAAATTGACTCCCCCTACTGTATGTTCATAACGTTACAATTGATCACGAGCTAACTTTCCTGGTACAGTACTTCACGATAGCGGTGCGAATGTACAATTACGTTAATGTATGTAATCGACAGCGGGCGACAGCCACCCCAACGATCGAAAGTGCACTTTCGATCGTTGAGTGTGACACCGTGTCACACTTGGGAATGTGCAAACCCACACATGCGCCACCACAACAATCAAGCAGAAGTCGCTCACAAGTGCGCCATTCGCTGTGCTTGGTGCGCAACCGGTAGATTGGTAATTTTTGTGTTAACGTTAAGGTTCTCGATCGGATATTCTGGTGTTTTCATCGATCGATGGATATAATTCATATCCTCGATCTCATTCAACTTTTAGCGGTGATCAACTTGCACGTATTGGTAAAGTGTACAATGACCCCCCCCCCCTGTGGTAGTAGTATTCCTTCCCATCCTATGAAGGACAGATTCATGTGGGCCGCGTACATACACATATTAGCTGTGTCGACTACGAGTACGTGTATGAGAAATGGAAGCCTCTGCAGAACGCAGAATCCGTGATTCCATGTTCGTACAACCGAGAAAGGCCATCGCGACTCACATAACCTGTTGTATTATACGCGATAAAATAGGACGACTCATTTACACAACCTTGGCAGGCACGGCGGTGGCTACGGGGGTCGCACTGGGCACATACACGTTGTTTTCTTCGACGTTGGTTGCCGACGGCACGCGGCCAATGGCGGTGGCCGTGAGCAGTTCTTGCTTCTTCTTCCACATGAAGTACCCGATGCCGATGAAGCACACGAGGGCGGTGCCCCACATCCAGGCGAAACCTTCAGAGCTCTTCATGATCCCTTCTCCCATGTTGTACAAGCAAAGCCAATTGAATAATGAGCATTGTCGTCGTAACCAGCGACCCTCAATCACCTTTGCACCTGGCTCACAGCCTGGCACCAGAAGTGGTCAATATACAGCCAAGTTTTGCCGAAATGAACCAATTGAATTGCTGTACTTCAGCTTTTTGTAAAAATAGCGAAAAAGAGAAGATCCATTGAGCTGGATTCTGATTCTTGCACCTCCACCTGGGTACGAAATGGCATTTGATTGGCTCTTGAAAATCTAAAAAAGCCAATCAGATGAATCCTCGAAACATCCGCTCTGATCCAAAAGAATCCAGCACTACTTATTATAATATCTCGTTGTTGTAATTCGAGTGGGCAATATACTGTCAAGAGTAACACCTTCCACGTGTCAATCCACTGACAGGCCCAGCTACATACATTTCCTTGCATGATGCATTAGGTGAAAGTTAGTGCATTGCATTTGAATCCAACATGGACGCTATAAGATGAAGGCTCTGGTGAGGTTGGAGCTGTTGCGATTGATGTTGTTGTAACAGTTGTTAGAAAACGACAAATCGATATTATAATAGTAGATTTTCACTTGCCTACTTTATCGTCCGTCGCATGTACTTCTGTATTCGGCCGCAGAAATCCTCCAGAATGGAATGATTGGGTGTTGAAGATGAGACGAAGGTAGAGATGCGCCCAGCTAAAGCCCAGTACAGTGTACTAGTATGCACTGTCGCCTGCACGATGCTGGAGCTACACGTGTGGATAGATACAGTAGTAGTACCAGGTAAAATCGAGTTAACTTCACTGGATTTTTGGGGGGCTTTCTCATAATGTTACTTACTGTACCAGTACGTGTGTTGTTACAATGGCATCGTTCGTTCCATGAAGGAATTATGCTGTACTGTATGTACCATGAGTGCTCAGATATGAATCACGTTATAGTAAGTTTTGAGGACAAATCAATTGTTATACTATGTTCTGCAGTGTTATAATTTCCAGAACAGTGTTTCAGCTCACCTTTTCACCTTCTATACCATAAAGAGGTACTGTACTTCGAAGTACCGTAATTCATAATACAGTTAATGTGCTTCTCTGATGTTAATACTGTAAAAAACCAGTTTAAGATAACTTTTTGTAGGCGTCAGAGTAGAATGCACATAATTTCTGAATCCGTTATGATATTTGAGTTTCAAGATACATAATCGAATTATCAATTACTTCGAATTATCAATTACTTCGAAGTATCAATTTACACGATTAGCTGTACTGTCTAAGCATTTGTAGCCACATTTTGATAACCAATTTATTGTTAGCATAACCTTTTTTATCTTGAAATGTGTATTGTGCTTTGCACCTTTTTTGGCAATTCCAGGGTTAAATTCATTGTTTAAAAATTTCTCAGGCTTAAATAATGTCTAAAGTAACTTGAATAACGGTTGGGTTCGTTGTTTAAAGTTACTTCATCTAATGCGATGATTGGTTGGTTGAAGGTGGTTTTACTGGAACTTTCGTAAAACAAGTTGTTTGCCGTTTTCATTCTGGCAAACAACTTGCTTTACGTCAACATGTCAAGGTGCTTGACGCAATGAAACTGAAGGAGCTATGGCCACATACATGACCTCCCATCCGTGATCACTACAGTACTAACATTACCTACTCCGAGTAATGTATATAACGTTAGGGATATAGTTAGGCTACAGTACATGTAGTCGTCGCTCTGTCCAATGATTCAAAGCTATGCCATACCTACAATTCTTGATCTGGTCTAACCTGAGCACTGTACGTGGAAGGCAAGACGACAACACGATGTATAGTACTCCCATTTCACAGCCTAATACGGTATGCATCGTGATGAACTGGTTGTTGTACGGCGTAAGTTGGCCTGGTGCTGCAACTCGATTAGTTAGCAGCTGAAATAAAGAAAGGGTTGTTTTATTCTGCTGAAATGCAGAACTTATGTTTAGCGTTGTTTTATCTTCAATCGGGCTTATATTATTTTAAACGTCTGGTTGTTTAACGCAGTTAAACAACGGGCAAACTGCATGAAAAGCACAATACTACATGTAGTATGTGT